AAGCAAGGAAACCTAGGGGCTGGCAGATTTGTTGTTATCCAATAATCTCTGGCATTATGGAAAGACACACAATGTCTGTCTATGTTAACATCACAGTAGTCTATAGCAGTGAAACAGAGATCAGTCAGATTCACAGGAAATCAAACCACAGGCTATGGTCACAGACGCTCTGGCTGGACCAACCATCCCAACACAATTCTATTTCCTTTTTGTCCTGGGCTGAATCAAACCTGCCTCTCACTTGCAGAACATCTCCCGGAGGATGATCCAGACATCTGGCAGAGAATCGAGAGCCTCCAGGCGGTCAAGCCCTGGGTGCAGGGTTGGGTAACTGGGTGAAGGAGGCTGGCACTCATGTATCCAGCAGGGCTTGTCCTCAGGAGCCTCTTATCACCATTTGGACCCTGTGTGGTCAGAGCAGGCCATTTGCTGTATATTTCCAATCCTGTAAACATGAAATTCTGATACATCTTCCTACTTCTGAGGGTGTGTGTACAGCATACAGTCCTTCTGATCTCCCTCCTTTTTTTGCACTGCTGGAGAGTGAACTCAGGGTCTCACATACACAAGGCAAGTACCTCTGAGCCACACCCTCAGCACACAGTCAGTTCTGATTTCCCCTGATGAAAATTAGCCAGTTCCAAATCAATATACAGTTACGGTTCTGCAAACCTCTTATCACAAACTTCCTTTCATGCATTTATTTATTTATTTTTGTCGTTGTTCTTTTTGCATCCTCTCCCCTTTAAATATGTTTTTCTGATTTTGCTCGTTTGTTGACAGGGTATCATGTAGCCCCCATGTCGTTGAAGATGACCTTGAACTTCTGATTTCCCGGCTCATTTAAATGCATTCTCTCTGTAAGACACACCCCAGGCTCCCAGCTCCAGGGGACCCCAGGCAGAGCTTCAGATGTGGAACAGGCCATTTGAAATACCCAAAAAAACTGAAAAGAATGTCCCCAGTGTGAAAACACGGCAGTCACCAGACCAGGAGGACACTGTATATATAGCAAGAGAGCCACACAAGAATGGCTTGTCGTTTACATTTAGCCACAGAAATGGACGAACTGAGAAACTCACATTTTTATTTATCTTTGTGCATGTCCACAAAGAACTCCCAAATGACAGCTTGCGAGTTATAATTAAACGTTAGCGAATAGGCAATATAAAAAAAATGCAAAACCCATGAATTCTAAAAGAGTCACAGTGTCTCCCTTTCTTCCTGTGCTGTTCTCAGCCTCTGGGCCAGTGAGTTGGATGGAGATCTCCCGCCCAGTCGTGTTAACCTCTGTTAGGATTTATTGGAGGCATGCCGTAGGCTAAAAATCTACCTCTGACATTTACAAGGCCTTGAGCAAGCAGTCAGCTATCCTAGCTTGTCTGGACAGAAGGATTCCTGGAGGCAGGAGCCGCTTCGAAATCCAGGAAGTGCCTTGGACTCTGTCAGCTCCTTGTCCTGTGGCTGTGACAAATACCTCATAAAAGCAGCCCAAGGTAAGAAGGGCTTATTCTGATTTTTTATTACAGGGTGTGTGTGTGTGTGTGTACGCGCACGCGCGTGCGTGAGTGAGGGGGACAGAGAGAGAACACAATGGACAGCTTGCCGCAATCATTCCTCTACCTCTGAAAGGTTCTAGGATGGAGCTCAGGTCATCAGCCATGGCAGCAAGCCTCCTTATCTTTTGAGCCATCTTGCTGGCCCAAGGACATGTTTATTTCAGCAGTCTGAGGACATGTTTATTTCGGCAGTCCGAGGACATGTTTATTTCAGCAGTCTGAGGGTAGTATTCATCTCGGTGGGAAGGCAGGGCAGTGAGAGCAGGAAGCAGCTGGTTGCATTGCATGCAACCAGGAAAATGCAACCAGGAAACAGAGAGCTGAATGCTGGTGCTCAGTCCTTTCCTCCTTTGCAGTCTGGAACTTCAGAGGGACCCCGTGGGATGGTGGCACCCACATTTCAACTTAGTCTCCCCTCCTTAGGTAAGTGGAAACTCCTCCCAGACATAGCCAGAGGAATGGCTCCTCGGTGGTTTCGAGTCTATACAAGGTGGAAGGCAAGGTTAACCGCCATAGTCACCTGAAAGATTATATGAAAATAGTGTCATTTTGTTTGTGTATTTAAGTCTCTCCAACAAGGAGCAACACAAACTCTTTGTTTGCTTGGTTTTGGCTTTTCGAGGCAGGGTTTCTCTGTGTAGCCCTGGCTGTCCTGGAACTCGTTCTGCAGACCAGGTTGGCCTCAAACTCACAGGTAACACAAACTCTTATTTTAAAAAGACATGCTTATTTTGTGTTTATGTGTGTGTGTGAGTCTGCACGAGTATACGTGAATGTGCATAAAGGGGCCCTGGGAGGCCAGAAGGGGGTGTTGGATTTCCTGGCACTGGAATTAGAAATGGTTATAAATTGCTGCGTGGGTGCTGGGAACTGAATCTTGGCCCCCTGCAAGAGCAGTAAGTGCTCTTAACAATTGAACCATCTCACTGGGCTGTGGTGGCGCACACCTTTAATCCCAGCACTTGGGAGGCAGAGCCAGGTGGATCTCTGTGAGTTCAAGGCCAGCCTGGTCTACAAAGCAAGATCCAGGACAGGCAACAAAACTACACGGATAAACCCTGTCTCAAACAAACAAACAAACAAACAAACAACCCCCCCAAAACAAAAAACAAAAAAAATTGAACCATCTCTGTAGCCCCGAAATAGTGAAGTTTAAATGTAAGTTATTTAACATTACTGAATATTAAAACCCTAATTATGTTTATCAAAATAAAAGTCTGTTCAAATCTATTGTGTCTTCTCCTTCCTAGGCTTTTAGTTTTTATGGTAAAGGCATCACAGTTACTGTAATTACCATATGAACTCAAAGGCAAAATGAACTGCTCTATAGGAAAGAGTGCCCCAGCCTTCATGCCCAGCTCGTGTCAATCAATCCCACAGTGTATTTTGAGTTAAACACCAGAGCAGTAGGGAAATGGATGCTTTTTCTCTTGGGAAAGAATGCTTCATTATTCAAGCTTGAATAGCCTCCCTGTCATCATGGGGATCTGACACCTCATCCTGCAGAGCAGTGTGTGTGTGTGTGTGTGTGTGTGTGTGTGTGTGTGTGTGTGTGTGTGTGTGTGTGAGAGAGAGAGAGAGAGAGAGACAGAGACAGAGACAGAGTCCAGCAGGCCACAGGGCAGGTCCTCTTACCATGGGCAGAGCTGTCATTTGCTTTTTTGAGGGAACAGATGGTGAGATATGGAGAAACTCCCTGAGGCCAGAATGGGGATCTCAGCACAGGAGGATAGCCAAGAAGGCAATGAGTGGCGAACAGGCCCTTTTATTTTTCTACAATTTAGAAGGGAGATCAAAAGAGGGATGTGGACAAAGGACACGTGAGTCACAAGACAGGATGTAAAACTAATTTTTTTTTTCTAGTTTCAACTCTGTCATAGTTTTTCCCCTCCATAATGGACATAGGAATTCAACTCTCAGGGTATTGAAGTACCAAATAACCATTTTTGCATTGCAAAAGAGTCCAGCCTGTTTTCCTCCTTTGAGCAGTGACAGAATGGGGATATCTTTTTAATCCCATGGACCATTAGTGCAGGAGGAATCAGACACTACTAGTCACTGAACACATTGGTTGTGTGGACCCACTTCAAGAAAGTATTTTTAGAAGAAATTTGTTTCATGGGGTGAGGGATTTTATACCTTAAACTTTTTCTCTTTTTCCTTCTGCTTAAAATTGTATCAAATTATTCTGCTATAGGGCTGGAGAGATGGCTCAGTGGTTAAGAGCACATGCTGCTCCTCCAGAAGTCCTGGGTTCGATTCCCAGCACCCACATAGTGGCTCACAACTGTCTGTAACTTCAGTTCCAGGGGATCCAATGCCCTTTTCTAGATTCCATGGGCACCAAGCATGTATGTGGTGCAGAGATATGCATGCAGCCAATGAGTACACATTAAAATATTAAATATACATTTTAAATAAAAGAAATTCTATTTTAGAGTAATATACAAATTATATTGCTATACATAAAATAAAATACGGCTTTTAGAATCTAAGCCACCTGGTCAAAGATGCTTTCTGTCAGAAGCCTGAACAGGCACAGACAAGACCAGAAACCATCTTGCTCCCAGTTCCCCCAACTCTTGTCTTCATGAGCACCTGCCAATCACATTTTTTATTTTTAAGTGACACTTTGACATGGAAACTTCAGGCCCTGCCTGGTGGTGGCATCCTGTTATCCTAGTTACTTAGGAAGCTGAGGCAAGACAGTCAGAAGTTGAAGTCCAGGCTGGGGTAAAGACTGAATTCAAAGCCAACTGAATAACTAAAGGAGCCAACATATCATAAGAAAAAGAGGCTGGGAATGCAGCTCAGTGGTAGAGTGTTTGTCTAGCATACAGGAGGCCTCTGGTTCAGTTCCTAGTACTGTAAAATTAAGAAAGGGGCTGGAGAGATGGTTCAGTGGTTGAGAGACCAACTACTCTTGACAGGTTCCAAGCATCCACGTGATAGCTCACAACTGTCTGTAACTCCAGTTCCAGAGACCCTAACGTCCTCTTCTGGCCTCTCTGGACACTGTACACCCGTGGTGCACAGACATACATGCAGGCAAAATACACGATAAAAAAAATTCCTTAGTATCTTAAAAGAAAAGAAAATCTCCTACCTCTCTCCATGAATTGAAAACGTACAGAAAGCAAAATAAATAACTGCAAAAGCAGAAAACGTACAAGAAAATAAAGGAAACAATAAGTCCTTTTTAGATGGTGGCATCTCCTGTGTAGTAAAGGAAAGGAGAGAGTGTCACGGGCGTGCCACCCAGGACCTGAAAGACAAGAAAAGAGCCACTTCTGTCCATCAAGCATCTAAGCCTTGGGTTTGGGAAAGCCCAGGAGGGCGGGGGCGGGGCAGGAGCCCTGTACGCCCATTGGTCCTCCCATTGGCTTATTTGCATGGTCCGAGAGGGGCGGGGCCTTGGGTGACGTCATCCGAGGACTGCCTAGGTGGCTGCGGCTCCCTAGGCTCAGAGCTGCGCACCGGGAGCGGAGCTGAGGTGCAGCGCCACCCCGAGCGCCGAGCGCCATGTACGACCCAGAGCGCTGCTCGAGTCTGTCGTTCGCCGGCTGCGGCTTCCTGGGCTTCTACCACATCGGGGCCACGCTGTGTCTGAGCGAGCGCGCCCCGCACCTCCTCGGCGAGGCGCGCACGTTCTTCGGCTGCTCGGCCGGTGCGCTGCACGCGGTCGCCTTCGTATGCAGACTCCCTCTCGGTGCGTTCACGGCCACCACCCAAGGCCCTGCGTGCGGGGAGGGCCTCTCCACCTAGGGAATCGGCGACACCTTCCGGGGTGCCCGAAAGAACCTGCCCAGATAGCTCCCACCTTTCCCGGTGCCGTGGGGCCCGGCGTGGGATTTCCGAGGGCGGGCGGCAGCGGGCGCGCTGTGCACCGGAGACACTTGAGCATCTTTTTCCCGGCCCGCTCTGGCGCCCTGGTTTGAAATGGGCCCTCCACTGGGTTCTGCCAACTGGGCCATCCCGGATCAGTAGAAAAGAAGGTGCAGGAGGCAACGCAGGGGTCCTCCGGTCCCTGTCATCAGAGCCGCGAAGGGTTTGTCCTGTGTGTCTCTGGCTAATGTACCATGGTGGGTGCCGCCAGGAGGGGCAGAAGGTACCCAGACTTGAACCCTGGGTGGCAGTCCAGCCCTCTGGTCTCCTTGCGAGGTGACTGCTAGGGGTGGGGTGCGTGCGTTAGAAAAGTATTTGGAACCCTCCCTAGAGACTGGAATGGATTCCCAGACAGGTCCAGTTCCACCCTTTCCTGTCTTCACTGACCTGGGGCAGCCGCCTCTCCCAGATCCATGTCACTGGCAGTGACATTCTGGGCATTTGAATCTTGGCCTAATTAAACATTTGCCCATGCATGCATCTATGAGCAAGAGGAGGTGAATTTGCTTCTCTCATCCCCTAAACTATTAGGGTGCGATGCCCTTCCCAGTATCACAGCTGGATGCTTTTGAGACTGTGGGCAGGGCCCGGCTAAGTGCCCACGGGGAAGCTGCTGACACCCAAAGGTCCCTAGGCGGCACGATAATGCCCCTTATCAACCCTTATTGATCTGGGCCTCTTCAACACTTTACTCTTTGCTCAGCTGGCCAGAGCCAGCCAGGAATGACGTTGGCAGGCACAGGAAAAGTCCCTGCTGATGAGCGGAGCTCTGCCATTGGATAGGATCAGTGAGCAGACCCTGAGCTGATGGGATTAGAAGACAAGCAGGTCTAGCTGGCTGTGTGCCTGCTTGTCTGTCTTCCCCAGTGAGGGAGGGAGACAGGAGCAAAGGTCAGAGAGAGTGGCCTCTGGAAAGGCTAGACCAGCCCAATGGCCATTGCACACCTGGGTTTCAGCACTGACCAAAAGCATTTCTTTTTTTTTTTTTTTTTTTTTCTTAAATTTTTATTTATTTATTTAATGTAAACGAGGGACCTATCTTCAGGGACACCAGAAGAGAGAATCAGATCTCATTACAGATGGTTGTGAGCCACCATGTGGGTACTTAGAATTGAACTCAGGACCTCTGGAGGAGCAGCCAGTGCTCTTAACCGCTGAGCCATCTCTCTAACCCCCCAAAAGCATTTCTTACATGGAGGCCTCTGGGCCTCCATGTGGATGGATAATTATTGGGACAAGGTTTAAATGCATTGACCTCAGGAATGTGAAGTATACCTACTTTCATATAGAGCAGTATTTCTCAACCTGTGGTTGCAACCCCTTGGAGGATTGAATGCCCCACATACGGGAGTCACCTAAGACCATTGGAAAACACAGATAATTACATTATAATTCATTACAGTAGCAAAATTACAGTTATGAAGTAGCAACGAAAATAATTTTGTGGTTGGGAGTCACCACAACATGAGGGACTGTATTAAAGGTTTGTAGCATTTAGGAAGGTTGAGAACCACACCTACAGAAGGTGTTAGTAACTTCGTTTTCCGAAGGTTTGTGACAGGCACAGGCCCTTGGGGCATCTTGACAGAGTAGGTGGTAGGATCTGCCAGTAGTGTGTAGGTTCACTCTCAAGCCACGCTCAGCAAGGGGGAGGGGTTTGCTGGTAGTCAGGGTTAGAGTTGGATCAGGTGAGGCTGGGATATGTCTGTCCTTGTGGAGTTCAGGATTTGCGCTGCTTGGGGCTGGAAGAGGTGGTTATATATAGTGCCAGGACAGGGTGGATTAGCCCGAGGGCTCTGGGCTGGAGAGTGAGGCCAGATGAAACGCGAATGTGCCGTGCACCCACTGCAGTCTGGGAATTCTGGGCTCCGAGCCTAACATGGAGACTAGCCACTTCAGCAGCCTTTTCCGGGTTGAGCATTTTATAGACATCATTTTACTCAATCCTTTCTGTCTCCAAAAGCAAGTAAATTTTGCTCCCCTTGAAGGCAGTCTAGTGGCTGGAGAGATGGCTCAGTGGTTAAGATCCCTTACTGCTCTTGCAGAGGACTCAAGTTCAGTTCCCAGCACCCACTTTGCAATTGATGGTCACTCGTCACTCTAGGTCCTCAGAATGTGACGCTCTCTTCTGGTCTTTATGGACTCCGGCACACACGTGGTACACATAAGCTCACGCCCACACACACATACAAATAAATTAATCTTTAAAAAAAATTTTTTAAGGCAACCCGAAGGACAGACAGGTGGCAGAGTGCTTTCCTCAGCAAGAGGGTAGAGTTGAGAATAACATTTAGGTTATTCTCATTATTTATTATTTCTTCTGTATCTTCTAATGCTCAGTTCATTTGTGCCAAGGCTGGGGTGCTGATGTGTTGGTGGCTTGTGGCTTTGTGGACATGCAGGTGGGAGTTCTCACATACATGGGCTACTGGAAGACCTAGCTTAGTACCATCCATGAAATACACACCACACGCCATTCAGGCCAATCTTATATTTCCTAGTGGTTCCATTGAATAAAGTCAGACAAGGGTGAAATGGATTTTTTTTTTGAGTCATACCCAGAATATTATCACTTTGTAATGGCTGTAAACCACTGTGAAAGAGATAATATCACCCAGTAAATCTTTGGAATGTAGCCTCATTGAATGTGCTCAATCATGACCAAAATACAGGGTGTGTTTTACGGTGTCTTCATTGGGACCAGCCACAGTTCAGGAGTTCTGTGTGGTTTCTGGTCTCCAGTGTGGTATCCTGTTCTGTGTGTTTGTCTTCTGTCCCCAGATCAGATCATGGAGATCCTCATGGACCTCGTGCGGAAAGCCAGGAGACGCAACATTGGCTCCCTCCATCCATTCTTCAACATTAACAAGTGCGTCCGAGATGGGCTCCAGGAGACCCTCCCAGACAATGTCCACCAGATCATTTCTGGCAAGGTTTACATCTCCCTCACCAGGGTGTCGGATGGAGAGAATGTGCTGGTGTCTGATTTCCATTCCAAAGATGAAGTGGTGGATGTAAGTCCTTCGCCTCTCTGGGTGTGGTCAAATGAAAAAGCAGTGCAGGACGGTCGTTGTCTCACTGGACCGGGACCGTGTGAACACTGTACTTGCAGCGAATTGGTCTGTAGCCCCTGGAAGCCGTACCATGTCAGCACTCTTTAGTTCTTTTAATTTTTCCAGTGCTGGGGCTGGAAGATAGATGTAGGTGGACTTTTCTGTCCCCCCAACCAGCTCCCAAATAACCACACAGAGACTTCTTATTAATTATAAAAGCTTGGCCGATAGCTTAGGCTTGTTTCCACCTAGTCTTATAACTTACATTAACCTGTTTCTATTAATTTGTGTGCTGTTGCATGGCTCATGGCTTGTTACCTCTCCTGCATGTTCTGCTTCCTCTGCATCTAGTTGGCAACTCACCATGTCTCTGCTTTTCTGCTTCCCAGCATCCTCTCTGACGCCCAAATCCTGCCTAGCTATTGACTATTCAGCTTTTTATTAAACAATCCGAGTGACAAATCTTCACAGTGTACAAGAAGATTATTCCACAACAGATAGGGCCTTGGGCATACCAGGCAGGTGCTCTGCTGTGCAGCCGCACCCTCACAGAAGTGTCTCTTCCTCCTTCAAGACTCAGAGAACTGGTCCTGGGTGTGCCTCACACCCCAACCTATATATGTTATGCAGTGAGACTGGCTTCTCCAGGATGGGACCATTTCTATTTGCCTCTACTCTCAAAAGATAAATTACCATATCAAAATGCCATTTGGGGACACACACACACACACACACACACACACACACACACACACACGGAGGCTTTTTATAGTTCTTAAATGATAACTGTGTTTGACTGAATGTGTTTCTATGAGGCTGTGCATGTAGCCAGTAGCTTCATGCAATCTAATTCTCCACTTGACTTTCTTTTTTTTGGTGGGGGTGTGGGGGTGGGGGTGTGGGGGG